TTGTTCTGGTAAGGATAATGATACTGAGTTTTGCTTCTAATTATTATTTGTGTTATGAAAACTGGTGTACTCTTAGAATGAGGTCAAAGTGGCAAAGTCCTACCTGATAAAGAAAAACAAGCATAAGAAAATCTCTCTTGGGCTTGTTTTGAGGGATTTTGAGAAATAATGCTTCCAAATCTGTATCTTGTTTGATTAACATAGAATTTCATTGAATGATTGTATGTTCTTCTCAAACCTGTGGTAGTCAAGGCTTGTTTGAAGGGGAACCTTCTCTACAAAGTTGAACTGCAGAAAGAATCCTGTGCATTTCACTGCAAACTAGGTAATTCCTGAGAGCCTTTCTCCTGCGTGCAGTAGAAGTTAGATGATTCGGCTTTGATCCTTTTATATTATGGATTGAGTATATGCCAGCTTTTTTTTTTAACTCTTAGCAGAAAGGGATCTTCAACTAAAGAAGATGATCTTTATATATATCTTTATATAAGACCTTTTGTATATATTTATGGTTATAAATAGATATAGTATATACTGATTATCATATGTATCTCTTTTAAAATAAATGTATTAATAAGGTTACCTTTCCCTGGGATGTTTGTTTTTTTCCGTATTTGTTAGGGAAACTTGCTTAGTATCAGCACCTAACCATGATGCTAGGCATATGAATTGATGGGTATAATGGAGATGAAGCTCAGTTTTGAAGCTAAATTAACTGTTTCTTTATTAGTAAACCACATTGTCTTTTAACAGCAGAAAACACGTGTTCTGAGCTTCACTTGGCTTACAGAAGGGGTGATTTTTCATTTGTTTTTCTTTGCCAGACATGAAGAAACATTCAGTGTAGCATTGTAGCCGAATTTGTTGTTTATTTGAAGTGGTTTTGTTGTTTAAATTATTTTCTTATAATATTTGCCTTAACATAGGTTCAGTCACTTCTCTGTCAGCTAGTGGAAACCTTAGAGCCAGGACTGAAATAAGCAAGTGACTTTGCTAAAGAGCTGGTCTATGGGCTTCTGAAATTGCTGATACTAGAGAGAGCAGGAGTGTAGTACTTAGAGGATGATTTAGGTGTTTGGAGTATTAGGAAATGATTTAAGTTTAATTAAAAAAATAATAATTGAAAATTCACATACATGAGTGCTGATGAGAAATCCTGGTATAACTAGGCTGCAACGGTTATAGCAGAGGTAGACTGTTGCATGATTCTGATCTGTTTTCTTGACAGATGATACGGGTTTGGGAGAGTAACATGATTCTAAGACACACTAGCTGTTTTCTAGATTGTTAGGACCAGCCAAGAAAGCATTGGTTGATTTACGTTTAGGATGGTACCTAGCTCTGATCACAGTTGTACTCAGAAAAGATGGAGTCATTTGGAAACAAAAGGACTGTTAGTGTGATTATGCTGAAGCTGAACTTACTTCAGTAAGAAGTAGAATAGTCTTTATTGGGTGTGAGTGCATATATGGGAGAGAAGCAACTGAAAATAAATACATCTGAGGGCTAAACTTAGTAACAAATCTTGTTTCAAAATCAGAAGGTGAGGTCTGGTTTTACAAAATCAGTAATGGAGAGAGAAACTTGGTGGTTCAAGGTAATGCTTTACATATTTATGGAAAAAGACTATGTAAGATTAGAAGGTTGATTGTGGAATCAGAAATTAAAAATGAGACGTATAAAAATAAAGCATATGAAATTTCTTAGTGATGGAATGACAGAAATCTCTGAGAAAGGGGATAAAGCAGCCAAGAAAACATTTGATTGTTGTTTTTCATAAAGTTTCCAGTTTTACAAATTCTGTTCTTCATGACTGTCACTTGTACTATGTAGAGATCAGAAGGAAATCTTTATTTACTTATTTTATCTTCTTGGTGCATAGTTTATCTTTGGATGCAGAGGTGATTTGCCATTGACTAAAGGTGGGATTTTGAGCGAGGTGTCTGATTCTTCCTGTGGCATTGGGAAGGTAAACATGTGCTGCCATATAGGTCTAGCGTCTGCCCAAAGTGAAATCAGTTTGCCCCAGTGAAATGGGGAAGTGTGTCGTATTCTCCAACCATATTCCTGAGGTCATGTAGGCATATTTATCTTACTCTTCTGTAGTTGCAGGCACTTACAGTGTGTCTGGCACCCTTGAATTCTGTTCTCTTGCTGTTGTACAGTCAAATTTTGCATCTTTTTAAAACTCAAATCACATTGGAAGTCTTGATGAAATGTATTTGGACTTCGTTTTGAATGGGTTCTTGTAATGGAGGAGACTGGATTAAACACTCCAGGTGATACTGAGCCCTTTATAAGGATATATTTTTAATAAATAGATCAATTTTTGTAAAAATAAAAGGTTATGACTAGTCCCATGTACATGCAGCATTTCAATGTCAGGATTTGGCATATAACTGAAATTTCCTTATCTGCAAAGTTACTTCATGGCGTTCATCTCCAAACAGATCACTGCAATAGGGGCAGACTTACCTGGAAGGCACCATTGTCTTGTTGGTGATATTTGTAAATACTGTTGAGTTGACTGAAAAACAGATGCAAAGATTTTTTTTAAAGTAGTTGTGGTTTTAAATAGAATTTCATTTTCAGGGATATATTAATATTAGGCTGGAGAATTGTAAGCTTTTTGGCAATTGAATGACTTGGAGTGGGTTGATTTTATAGACACATTAGTTGTGATCTTAAAGGGCTTTATTTTTTTCCTCTTAGTAATAGGTGTAGGGATGGAAAAGAAAAATTAGTGGTTGCCTGCATCTTGATTTCAGTACAGAATTTGCACCCTCTTTGTGAGTTACTCTGAACAGACTATGGAAAACATTCTAAAACCAGTGCATAGTTGGTTGAAAAACAACCAGCTGGAACTCAGGTTAATATTTCTTTGTTGTACAGGTAGCATCTGTTAAGTGGAACTTCAAATGACTTGGCAAGGTTTGGCTGGACTGTTTTATGTTAAATTAACTCAATGTATTTCATTGTTTTGTAATGATTATTTTTGTTAATCATATGTGTTGTGGGCAAATTTTCCTGGAGCAGAGGTAGCAACTACATTGGGGCTGTGTTTATTTCCCCCTGTACTTTGTGAATGGCTGTTAAGTAGCTGCTTCACTCTGATGGTATGTTGGTGTGGGGAAAAAAAAAAAACAAATTATCATGCTTTCTTTCTATTGTTCTGTGTGGTTTTATATATTTTAGGTTAACTAAGTGTGAAATTTTGGGGAGCTTTTTGTAGGGCAGGGTGAATTGCCCAGTCTGGTAGGACTCTGGCCTTTTGGTACTGCCTGTAATGCTGTTGCCTCAAGCTAAATCAAGTTGTAAATTTAGTAGTAGTTCTTTTCATTATGTGAAATATAAACATGTCCACTTTATGTTTACTGTGAGCCAAGCTGTCTAAAACTATTTTTCCATACATATGGCTCACATAATACACTCTTTTCTGCCTGCGATTGGGGTTGCAAATACGGACTCCTAAGATGATAGAGCATAGTGTTTCGCATAAAATTAAAAGTACACATCATTCCAGAGTGTGCTGTGATAGGTTCACTGTAGGCCTATCTCTTGGAAAGGTGGACTCCGTATTCAGTTTTGCTTGGCTTCCTGACTCACATTCAGCTGGTACTTTCATCTCCCCATTTCTGTGAAATGGGTAGTGTAATTGATTTGATGAAAGGTGCAATAAAGTAACTAGTTTAGTTTTTGAACAGCTAAAAATTTGTTGTTACATTTTATACATGGGGTAACAGTGCTGAATTTTTTCTTTTTTTGTTTGGATTTCTGAAATCCTTTATCACAGGAAAGGCTATAGCCTTTTTATTGAGTGCTGCCTTAGCTGATGTATAACCAAGCTATCAATCTCAAATGGAACTGAAAACAGGCTATCTCACTCTTTCCTCCAGGCATTCCATTTTTGGAAGTTCATGGGCCCTGACCTTGTAGGTACTGATTATTTTGAATAATTTATTACATGAAAAAGAAAATAAAAAAATCCAGCCTTTTTTATTTAATTATTTTTTTGTCACTTCTGCTGCTTTTGAGATTTTTAGAGTTGCCAGTTTGCCTTGTTCATTTTACAGTGCAGCTGCTGAAGCTTCTCTTTTGGCAGAATCCTTATTGTAGTAAAAGACAATTATCTGACGCATTTATCGTTTTCTCTTCACTCCCATTCCTGGTGCTATTGTTGCTTTAAGTCGTTTCATATTTATTTTCCTTCCCTAGTTTTATCCCTTTCCTTGAAGTCAGGTTCACAAATTAGCTTTTTCAACATCCAATTTATTGCTGTTGCAGAGTCTGATAGGTGCAGCTTTGATTGCTTTTCTGTTATATGGCCAAGAATGAACACTTAGTTCAGTGGCATGCAGCCATTATGAATTAGTGAGACCACTGTTATAAAATGTAGTAACTCCATGCCGTGATAACCCAAAAGTAAGATTTTGTTTAAAACTACCTGCTGCATTATGGTCTACTAGGTTTGTTACGTGTAAACATAAACAAGTGGTACAAAACATTTGCTTACATCTGTTTTAAAGGCAGAGCCTATTCTTTTCCATGTGGCAACTATTTCAGTTTGAGGAGTTTACTGTTTTAATTTTGGGCATCTGGTTTTAGGATCTTATTTTTCTCAGTGTTTTTTTGTCCTAAAGCCTGGCTATATATATCCCAAGAATGAATCCACTGCTTTTTTCCTCTCTCGCTTTCTTAATTTGTTTCACAGATGCCTTGGGGGTCTCTACTTAACCTTTGTTGGGCTTTTTTTGGCAATGAAGCGAACAGTTTCTGGTTTTTTTGGACCTCAGTATAAATAGAGGTTGTTTATATGTATAAATTTCTGCTTTCATAAGAGTTTTGCTGCAGATCATCTAATCATAAATGATGAAATTCTTCTCTTTTTATGAGTGTTTGCATGCGTCTCTTGAAAGCTGCATGTAATTGTCAAAGGATAAAAACACAGATAAAAGTAAAAATGGATAAAAACTAATGATCCTCTTTTCCTTTTCTACTTTCAGAGAATTACCTAGGTTTCAAAATGAAAGTGAGGAAGAAGAGTCCCCCAGAGCATTAATTTGAACAATAACTATTGCTGGTAAGTAAGTACTTCTGTTCCTTTGTGATGTTGCCTCCACTAGGACAAAAACTAGATATGCACAAACTAGATGAAGACCTATGCTACTTAAACAGCGACTGAAAACTGCCCTTCTGTTGATAAATCCTTGTCTGCTGGAAGAAGCAAACTTTGCAAAAGAGAGGTCAGGTCTTTTGCTTTTATGCCAGATCACTGACAAAATTGGGTCAGACACCTATTTCATCTTTCTTTTCTCCTTATGCCCATTTCTCTCCGTTCTCCTCTTTGTTTCTCACCTCAAAAAAGATAAATTCTTTGATAGGTTCATTATGTATCCTCTGTCTTACGTACAAAGCCCTTATTCTTTGGCAGCATTTTGGGTCCTTTCATCTCTGTGGCAGATACTACATGTATTTCTTAAAGATCACGAGTACTGTAGAAGTTGGGCACAGGCCCTATTCTATGAAGTTTATCTGAGAGTTATAAGTAACTAAGGTGTTGTGGCTGTAAACCATTGTGTGCTCTGGGATATTCTAGGTCCAGTGCTAGATTTTCTCAAATGATGATGCGTATTAAAACCTTAATACTGCAGATTCTTATGTTTTTGAAGGTCTAAGGAAGTACCATAATACTTATTTAAATAAATAAATGTATCATAAGAAATAAATCATAGAAGAATAGTAACTTTCTTCTTTTTGAGAAGCTGATGAAAGAATTGAACTTCACTGAAGCATGAATTCAGATGTGAACATGAAAACCAAGCATGTTACGAGGTTATTCTTTTTAGATGCAACTGTAGAAAAAGATTGTTAGGATCAGTATCATTGGTTGTGGTAAAGATAAGAAGGTTGTGAAAGTTTCTTGAATTAGACTAGCAGCTCAAGCAAATTTATTGCAGATGAAATGGTTTTACTGTTCACCCAACTGCAATAATGGTTGTCAAGTTGTAGACACATAAAGTACTCTCAATTATTATGACTTATTTATTATACAGTTACAACTCTTGAAGTACTTTTTCAGCTTAAGAATGTAATGAATAGTTTAATAGAAAAAAATAAAAGTGGGATTTCAAATGATGTGCTGAGGACTTCATGGTCAGGACAAAACAAAGAATAAGGTGGTAGCTTTCCAAACATCCAGTTTCTACTTAGTTTTCTTGAAACTGGGTTGGCTGTTGTAACTGCTTATTTCTACTGAAAGAGGTGGTTTCCATTTCGTGAACCCTATTCTCTCCCATATCTGACTCCTGCTGAAACCAGTTAACTTGTTTTATCTCACAAATTCAGCAAAAAGGTGGTTAGTTTTGTTTGTTGGTTTGTGGGTTGGATCAGCTAAGATAAGCATGCAGAAATGTGTTAAAGTGGTGCAAAGGGAGAAATGAGAATCTGAAGGCAGGAACAAAGAGTGGGAAAACAGCAACCAGGCAGTGGATCAGTCCATCAGTTTGTGGTTATCACTTGTGTTACTACAGTGTTAGACTGGAAATAGATGATTTGGCTTTGGAGAAGAACAGATTTGGTTTCTGTGAGAGGTATAGACTAGAACTGGCTAATCTTGCCGCAGCCCTCCCAGCCCTTGCTATTAGTAGGAGCGACCGGTTGCTACAGAATATAAACAGTGATTCAGAGGGAAGAAATTTGAGCAGATAACTAGAAAACCTGTAATAATCTTCCTATCCACCCTCTGCCAAGCCCCATGTGAAATACCTGTGTGCTTCAGGCCCTGGGAATGAATGATCAGTATGTGTGAAGAACTTGCATGACTTGTCTAAACCTCACTTCTTTCCAGAATTGGCTGGTTGAACTGTGAGCCTGGATGCATGCATATACTTTATACTTAGTGTTTATACTTCATTTTGGACTGTGTTCACACTACCTTGATTTGTCCATAAACTGTGGTGATGGTTGGGTCTGTTGTAGGGATGCCGTCCTTCCTTTAGCAAGGGCAGATCGCAATGAAACCTCTTTTTACCTTTTCTGTTTAATTTGTGCAAGAGGATCATTAAGAGGATTTGTGCGTAGGATAAATTGCAGTGTCTGAAGCAGTACTTAAGCCTGTGGTTTTGTATGCATTGCTCAACTCCTAAAGGAGATTGAGCACAGGGGTAAGCTGATTGGAGCTTACTATCTAGGTAAAATCTAGGTAGTGCTCACAGGTTGAGGGAGGTAACTGAGTAATAGAGAGGAGGTGATACCTTTTCCGTATTACTTTGTTACGCAGTCTATAGATTGCGTTGGATTCCTGCTTCCTGTCAGATTGTATAACAAACTCTGTTCAGAACTATTTTCTGCTATGAGAGTCCGGCTGGGAAAACTCCTGTTTATTCCATTTACCTATTTAATATTTCCTTGATACTTCTCACATGTAAAAACATTCCCATGGTAGTCTATACCGTCTTTTTTTAATTCCTAATCATATTTCACACTTGATCTAATACATTCCATCTGTGGACTACAGTTTTGTCATTTATTAAAAAGAAAGACCAACAATTACTTTCTAAACTACTTTCTTATCCTTTCTTGAATATACTGCAAGTTATATTTGTATGAGATAGGCTTTTGACGATAAACTTATCTCTTCAAAAAGCCTTTATATTGCAAGTTTTAAGGTTTATTGTAGGGGCACTTGAGATCTTGGATAGATTTTATGTATTTCTACGTATCTAAATAGATAAACATATGATTCCTGATGGAACAGGAAAATATCTTCAGAAGGGTATGTTGCTGATTTAGTCCTGTCCTTTTTATCATTATCCATTAACCATCCTTCTATGTTTCTGGAGTGCCTACTGTGTTTCTTGTTTACTACTTTCCCCCACATCTGAGGATCAACAAAATCTGTTTTTTGCTCTAACATTCAGCTTCAGTTCACCATTTTATTCTGATAGTCATTTAGCTTGGTTTCTTGTTTAAAAGCTGGCTTACTGCTAGACCGGCTTTCTGAAATGTGTTCTTTTTTAAAAGTGCGTTCTATATAAGTCAGTTGTGATGCAGCAGCACAAACAGCAGTCTTTCATGTCTTTTTCCTTCTTAAGAAAAGACATTACTAATGTATCCATTGACTTGCATGTTTACCGCAGTGAAAAATGGTAGTAGCTACGAGACTGCAGGGACATTGGAAGATTGGATTAGAATTTAACATGAACCAACAAATTAGAATGATCTATGAAAAATGGGATACAAGTCATTAAGGGCAAGTTTAAAATACTGCTTTTAAATTAAAGAAAAAAAGGCAAATACAGAATAAGAAATGGCTGGGAGTTCTGAAGTAAAATATTAAGAGTTAAGAGCTGACCTTAAGACAACAGCATCATACACAGAAAAACGTTCTAAAAATGTAACATCACAGCAGGATAAATAAGTGGAAGCACTGTCATAAAACACTGTGTAAATCCCTCTGCTCAATTTAGGGTAGAAATGAAGTCAACAAGCTCATTGTGTCAGGTTTGGAGCTGTGCACTTAATACGTGAGCACAAATTTAAGTTACTTTACCAAGTTGGAGACTCCGGGAGACAGTAGTACTGATGATCATGACACTGGATCCAAGACCTATGAGGAGAGGTTGAAAAAGTCATGGCTAATCTAATAACGAGAGTATGTGCTGCTGCTCGAGGTCTTTTGGAACACCACAAACCTAATAAGCTTATGTTTTTACCAGTGGAGATTGATGCAGTGTGGCTAGTGAAACTCTGCAACAGACTGGGAAGAGCAGTCTCTGGAAGTTCCAAAAATGTCGTAAGACACACAAGTATGTGTGATCTCATCTTAGAGGAGAGGTGTGGTCTAATAAACTTCTGATAACCTCATTACATTTTATGATTTAATGTCTAGTTTGTAGTTAGTTTTTTTCCTTCCTTCCCCACTCCGCATTGGCTCTCTCTTGTGAGCGGAGCATGAAGGGAACAGCTTTTTGCAAAAGATGCTCAGAAACAGCATAGAATCTCTTTCTGCATATTACAGTAAGTTTATTATTTTTACAAGTTTTTAGCTGAAATATTTTTCCAGTTGACCAAATTACTGTTGATGTTGAATACACCTAATTTTAAGCTTAAATAGTCCAAATGTAAGAGAAGGCTGTGTGGAGACTTCATAGCACCCTTCCAGTATCTGAAGGGCAGCTATAAGGATGCTGGGGAGCTACTCTTCATTAGGGACTGAAGTGATAGGGCAAGGGGTAATGGGTTAAAAATGAAACAGGGGAAGTTCAGGTTAGATATAAGGAGGAAGTTCTTTACTGTGGTGCTGGTGCAACACTGGCTCAGGTTTCCCAAGGAAGTTGCGAATGCTCCATCCCTGGCAGTATTCAAGGCCAGGTTGGACAGAGCTTGGGTGACATGGTTTAGTGCGAGGTGTCGCTGCTCAGGGGTTTGGAACTAGATGATCTTAAGATCCTTTCCAACCCTAAGTATTCTATGATTCTAAATCTAAAACAGTGGCTGTAAATCTGGCAGAATTACAGATGGTAACCTGCTGGGTATGATTTGGATATAAATTAGTACTATTTTTATAATCCCTGGAAAATCAAATTTCAGATGTCATTGATAATCTATTTTTAATGTCTGAGATTAGACTTTTAGACTAAACAAAACCTAAGTGTTGACAAATTATTTAAGGAGACAATATCAGAGGAAATAGCCAGACAAGGTGTGTATTTGGAATACATTTCCTGCTTCACAAGTTCCTGCAGTTAAATAGGCAAGGAACTATGTCACAGGTTTTTTTTTTAATATGGAATACAGAGAGTTGGTATAGCCAATTTTGATGAAAGTATCTGTGAGTTACAGTTTTTTATCTAATAGTTTCATTTTAGATAAAATAGTCTGAAGGTGTAAGTCTTGCCCGGTATTTGTTTTTGATTGGAAGAAATTGTAGCTGTCAAGGAGAAGAGCAGGATGTGGCTCAATGCCAAGGCTACATCTACAATACAGATGTATTCCACAGTTGTTTTGACTTTGCTTTTTTTAGATGATGTAATCACATTACACTGATACTTTGGTACTCTGTTGTGTCTATGTTTGGAT